ACACACACACACACACACACAGAGTGTCTCACCAGCACGGCTCTCTCCACCTGACTGGCCGCGGACATCTTGGGCAGCTCGGACAGAGACCTCTGAGAGTTCAGCATGGTGGGCAGCGAACTGATACTAACACCTTCTTCTTCTTCTTCTGCTTCTGCTTCTTCTTCTTCTTCTACCGCCTCTTCCTCCTCCCTCTTCTTCTTCTTCTGTCCGCTGCTGGGGATGAAGGAGCCTCACTAGCTTAGAGGAGGATCTGATGCCTTCACGTGTTGTCGGAAATGTGAGCGCCAAGTGAGCGGTGAAGAAAAATGAAAACAAAACGACGATCTGTGATCCCCAGCAGCGGACGTAATAGAGGCACAACGATACATATATATTTATATACAATAAACACTAATAATTGTTTCGCTATGTGTGGTTTAGTACTTCATTTCAGATTGGATTGTAGTGAAGGTGTAGATTAATGTCTTATTTCACACAAATGGTTGAAAATGTTTGTCTTTTGAAAATCAAATAATCTATAAATGAAACGTCCAACTGACCAATGCATTTACCTATTCATTCCGACCGAACCACCTCGGTGGAAATGTGTTTTGGTTTTTACGAGAGGCTCTTGAACGCACATTAGGCTGGTCACACGTTTACTATTAAAGCAGCCCCGCCCACAACTTCTTATCATAATCGTTTTATTTTGGAATAACTTCCGCTCATTTAACAATTGGGTTATGATGCCCTGGGACTCTTGGTGTTTATTCACAGCTCTGGAAAAAAATAACCACTCCAGTTTTGTCTTAAATCAGCATCTCTACGTGGTATTGCAGCCATTCCATTCCAGTATCTGTTGAATTCCAATACAGGCAGACCTGATTCTACTTAATGAGGCACTGATTAGGTGATCACCTGAACCAAATCTTATTTAATGAAGAAAAGTATAAAAACCAGTGCTGTGGTCATCACTATCCTCTTGCAATAGGACCAGCTGGATGGCAGAAACAGTGCTAGTAGTACCTCAAAAGTAATTGGAATTTTAAAAAAGTGCCAAAAAGGGATACAGTGAGCGTCAGGTTGCTTCCATCCTTAGAATTTCGAAGACGCCGGTTCATAAGGATAAGGTCAAGCAGCAGACATTAGGGACAACAAAGTTACAGCCCGGCAGAGGACGAAAACGACTCTCCACTCACCGCTAAATTTTAATATCACTCAACAACCGTAGGACGACATCAAGTGACCTCCAAAAAGAATGGCAAATGGCAGCTGGGGTGAAGTGCACGGTGAGGACAGTTAGAAACAGACTCCTAGGGGCAGGGCTGAAGTCGTGCAAAGCTAGAAAAAAGCCCATCATCAATAAGAAGCAAAAAAGAGCTAGGCTGAGGTTTGCAAAAGACCACGAGGATTGGACCATAGAGGACTGGAGTAAGTCAGCTTCTCTGATGAGTCCAATTTTCAACTTTGCCCAACACCTGGTCGTGTTAGACGGAGACCTGGAGAGGCCTACAAGCCACAGTGTCTTGTACCTACTATGAAATTTGGTTGAGGATCGGTAATGATCTGGGGGGTGCTTCAGCAAGGCTGGAAATGGGCATTTGTCTTTGTGAAGGACTCATGCATCAAGCCAAGTACAAAGTTGTCCTGGAAGAAAACTTGCTTCCTTCTGCTCTGACAATGTCCCCAAATCTGAGGAGTGGTTTTTTGCTCCATGCCAAACAGCCAGGTCAGTGAAGGTGTGGATAAAGGACACCACATCAGGACCCAGTCATGGCCGGCCCAATCTCCAGACCTGAATCCCATTGAAAACCTCTGGAATGTGATCAAGAGGAAGATGGATGGTCACAAGCCATCAAACAAAGCCAAGCTGCTTGAGTAATGCACCAGGATGGCATAGGATCACCCAACAGCAATATGAAAGACTGGTGGAGAGCATTCCAAGACACAAATATTGATTTCTGAACTCTTCCTAAGTTTAAAACATTAGTATTGTGTTGTTTAAAAATGAATATGAACTTGTTTTCTTTGCATTATTCCAGATCTGAAAACACTGAATCTTTTTTGTTATTTTGACMAGTTGTCATTTTCTGCAAATAAATGCTCTAAATGACAATATTTTTATTTGAAATTTGGGAGAAATGTTGTCAGTAGTTTATAT